CCAAAACAAAGAGTGTTAAAATTTCAAGAATCTAAAGAGTAGCTGCTTAGGAATGTTCGACGATATTTTGTTACGAACAGACACACACATACGTAAAACGATTTATATATACCCTCTCTCTTTCAGAGAGGGAGTACATTGTATAAATATTTTTTTTATTTATTTTTTTTTTTTGCAAGATTATTCAGTTTTCAATTAATGCAACAATTCAAACACCACAATGAGCTAAAGAGTTTAAGGAATAAAATTTGGCTACTTTTCTGAAGAAAAAAATCAGGAAAAATAATGTGAACTGAAAAAATTTAACGATAGAAATATTATCATTTACATGTAACATCAACGTAAAAAGAGCTTAATATCTGACATTCGTAAAGTAAATGTCTAAACACGTGCAGTTTGCTCCTTTTATCAAAATAATCAACCTTTTCCTTACTTTTACGAATAAAGTTTTCGAAAAGCATATTTTGTCATTATTATTTATAAACATGATAAAAGGACAGAAACTTCTGATAAACAAGGTTCTCTTTTGTGTGTGTGTGTGAGAGGTAGGGTGTGTGTTTGTGAGTGTTTTTGGTCATAATTCCTGCTTCCTCTATCATTTTTTTTTTCAGGAGATTTCCTAAGTACATTACAACTGCTGTTTTTGGCGCTCTACAGCGTCATCTCTATTGTCTTTTATATACCCTCTTAAATTTCTTTTCAATTTCTTTGATTTTAATTAAATTCCTAATTTTGATATTTTTACATACACATTTGTTTTGCATTAAGCGTTAAGCATTTCTACAAATTGGATTTAATATAAAGTTAATTCACGCACATTCCGAACAACTCTCTCGTAGATATAAAATAAGCTTAAAGCAGAAAGGTTAAAAATGTCACCTTATATACTTATCACCATCTAGAGGGCACTTTAGTTGACAGGTGATTGAGGTGTAAATTTAGATATCATTTTAAGAAGGGATTAAATTATGTGAAAGTTGTTCAGTAACAAAATCACACGAACCATTGATATTGACAAAAGTTGTTAAGTGGGGTAAAATGAAGAATGCAAACCAGGAAGACTTCTATTTACCCCTGTAGTACTTAACAATTCTAAACTAATAAAGAATTTCAGAATTTTAATACATTAAGGCTTTCTTCATTTCAAATTTATTTTGTATATTGAAATATTTCCTATTTTGGTTCAAACTTCTACACTTTCAAATTTCCAAACAGATTTTAAAATTTCGAAATTTTAGCTTTTTAAATATTCAAAATTCAATTTACCAAAACGATTTTAGTTTTTTAAACTTTTATAAAAAGTTTTTAATTTATCGATTTTTAGAATGTTTACGCTTTTTCGTATTTTATAATTATAATAAAAAATAATTCAAATTTCTTAAGGTCAAGATCTAGTAAATGAAAGATGCCTACAAATTTCTCAAATTTGAGGCATAAATTTCTCTAATAATGCTTTATAACTTTAGCTTGGTCGAATAAGGTGATTCGGGTCATACATGTAATTTGTAGGTAAAAAAGATGAAAAACCATATTTTAAACCGTCATTTTTAATCACAGGAGTTCGCGTACCCATCAATTTTACCGAAATTTTTAGTTAATAAAAAAAAATAAATACATGATTCCTATATAATAACACAAGGAGTGCAACGCATTTTTGGTCACCGGGGAACCCCTCGCTTAATATGAAGGCCGACAAACAATCAATTTTCAATCGAAAATTATGAAACACAAACCAATCTTTTCGGAAGGGACCATTCCTTGTGTCTTTTAATGCATATCATTTCAAAATCATGTTTAACAGCAGCAGCGGTGACGTTTCTCCACGATTTCGCTCAAATATTCGTGTGCGCGATGCCATTACTGGACGCGTCCATCAGGAGCTAATTTAGATGATTGCTAATCTAGATGATTGAGGTCATATGCGAAAAGAAACCAGTAGATATTCAAGAAAATTTAAAACAGGAAGGGGACGGCATTGCGGATACGGGGCTGTGGATAAAGAGCAAATTGCAAGGGGGAACACACTAGAGCAAGTATATTCAATGACTTACTGTACTGTATTTTACTGGTAAAAAAAAAAGGATTTTAATTTTTACCCTACCCTCTTCAAGTTAACGAGGCTGGGGGGTGGCAGCCATTTTCAGATCTCCATATAAAGATATACAAAACTGATCAAATTTTAAAACTAAAATGTATAAATTTTTTCTTTGCCAAATGATAGTTGACAGCTTAAGATACCGTATCTAAAAAAATAAGTTAAATCTTGTGGTTAATTTATGGTTAATTTGTTGACCCCCCAGCCTCCTTAATTTTGGGAAAAAAAATTCTGAATTAAAATACATGTTCTATATTGTTATATCTCCTTATGTCCCATGAAACTCAACTTTTAGAAATGCTTTTGACACTTTTTTATTCTCGTAGAATAACGCATAAAGAGTGCTAGCTAGGGTCTGTTATACATTATGTTTAAAATAGATTACAAGTATTTAATAATTTAATGCATGTACTACATGCACACGAGTGAGTAATTAAGTTCCATTAACCAATTTTGTAGAAATTAAATTCCTCCAAAGGTTGCGCTCCAAGTCAGTAAAACGCTTAATTAAAAAGAGCATGAAATTGAAAGTAAGAACAAGAAGATTGAAGGGTAAATAATTTCTGGCCATAATATTTTGAACCCCCCTCCCTCTAGAATTAAAAGGGGAGAGGGACTCAATATTTTATGGCCATAATATTTGGAACCAATTAAATTAATATGGAGGGCGCAAATCCAGCACTTGATCAATCCTTGAGTACACCCCCCCGGAGCTTATACGTCAACTTAGTAAATACTTCCCCAATATATACATACATGTACTTATGAAATGGCATCTTGTTTGTTTAAATTTGTCAAAACAACAAATGAATATTGACCATGAAAGCTCGCTTGAACATAGAGCGTATTTTAATTAAGTAAGAGTAATGTTTTTTTTTAACTGAAGTAGCATATTCTCAAAGTGTACAATTGTTCAATGATCTTGTCTTTCTCCCTTGCTGAAGATTTCGTAGCCAAAATTGAAAATACATCGACTTTGGTTAGAAACCTACTATCCCACGGATATTTAAAACCAGAAGTCCCTGTCGAGACTGAAGCTCTACTGGTTTGTACTTATAGCAAAGGAAGAGAAAAGTACTTAAGCTTTTGGGAATTGAAACTTTACAACATGTACAGCAATAAATAGAATAATGATCCTTGATAAAATCTCTTTATGTTCTTAGTGTAGTCTACTTGTGTGCCAAGTATATTGAAATCAGACCAAAACTGTAAGAGGAGTAGCATTTTGAACGAATTTCACAGAAATTTCTATTTTTAGTAACCACAGCAACACCGTTCATCGAAATCAAAAACCGATATACAGAATTATGTATCTTAGTGTAGTATACTTGTGTGCCAAGTTATATTGAAATTAGACCAAAACTGTAGGAGGAGAAGCATTTTGAAAAATTGTTTACAGACAGACGGACGGACGCCGGACGCATTACTATCGCATAAGCTCTTCTGGTCTCTGACCAGTAGAGCTAAAAAATAAAAAAACCCTCTGTCTAATGCCCCACAAATTTAAACAGTAAAATTTCATTGCTTACATCGCATGCTAATGTTTTCCATATTTTATTTATATTTCACAACAGGCAAACAAGTACTATTTACCCGATCGTATCTAAAGGTAAAATCTTTATCTCTGGTTACTTGTGTATGATTGTTCAATCACGACATATTTTTGTTCCTTTTGGGTAAATGGACCGCCCGTAATGACGTCGCTGACAACGGTTGCACTCCTTGTGTTATTATTATAGGTATTAAGTATTTTTTTAATATACTGAAAATTTCGGTAAAATTGGTAGGTATACTCGAACTCCCGTGTTTTCAATAAAAAATCAAAAAAATCAGTCATTAATTTGGTAGGTTTTTTTTCATTCCGACAATGGAAATGTATTCAGATTGCCTACAGTCTCTTAGAAAACGGTAATTTGTATGTTCATGGTCTCCTCTTTAAAATCATACCAAATTTACAACAGGTATCGGGATTACTTTTCATATGATATATGATTTCAAATTCAATTCCATGAATATACCCTATTTTCTACATAATTCTGCTAAAGCCGTAAAGGACGGGAAAAAAGAAAGTTAAAATTGATTATGACGTCATAATGGATTTAGCTCCAAAAATTTAGTCTTAAGCCATTTACAAGATCTTGACCTTAATTATAACTTTAATTTCAGCACGAAATAAATGAAAAAAAAAATAGAACTTTTAATCAAACACTCAAATTTTGAATAACTAAAATTTTTTTCTCACATTTTTAGGTTTAGAATTTGACTAATGTACTTAAATATCACATTAAAAATACTTCGAATTTTGAAACATGTACAGTCATTGGACATAATTATTCGCCACCCTGTATGCAAATGGCACCGTGTTTTTGCTTAGAAAACGAAAGTGGGGGTTTCGCGCTAGAAATAGAAAAAAAAAAAAAGATTTCACCTTCTTATAATAGCTACCGTGTCAAACAACTAAAAATCATTATTTTAAAAGATAGCAATTCCTTGACTATTGACTTTCTTTATGTTAAAGTTAATTACATACATTTCTCATAAATTGAGAAAATAATATAAAACAAAACAAATCTACCTTCATGAATTGGTTTTTTTCTGACGGTATAAAGGAAACACAGTGACATTATATTCATTGTACAGGACTCTGTAAATATAACTGTATGCATGAAAATTTTACGAAGTATCATTTCCATGAAAAAAAAGAAAAAACGTTTGAGAGAGTCTTACTTTCATTCAGGATCAGAATTTTACACAAAATATTGCTTCGTTTTATGTATCTTTTTAAAATTCCTTAAACGTTTCTAATTGCTGAATTCGCTAAAATGTCCCCACGCACAAAATTTCGAGGTTAGCAATTAGAAGGGATCTTACGGAGGTTAAATATTTCTCCTCTGTCTCCATGTTAAAATTTTTACACCAGGCTTCTAACCATCATCTGTACTGTCTTCATTGAGTAGTAATGCGTCCGCCAGGGGGCGTACGTGATACCCTTAGCAAATATGGTCGTGTTTCCCGCCAAGTAAAGACCATTAGGGTTTGCACAATGGCATCTGTTATGCCACCAACCGGAAGTGAACGACACTGCACAGATACCGAGAGTTTTATTATCATTATCTTGATCCAGCGTCGAAAACTTCATATTATCTATTGGATTTCCAGTTCCAGTAAAGCAATCACCTTTAGAGAAATAAAATAATACCATTGAATTATTTTTTAACTGTTAAATGATATGGGGTTTATGAAATTCACAATAGCGTGCATATAATGCATCTTAGTTTTGCAGAAGATAGGAAATTTAAGGGAGATTAAAAGTATTAAAGGAGAGTATATATACATATCGTATAAATTTAACTTAAGTACCTTTCAGTAGCTGTAAATCGTAATTCAAAACTTGACTACGATCTTAAAATATATAACGTGCTTTTAAAAAAAAACTCAAACCTCACTATTGGGAATTGGAAGGGACCAAGATTAAACTTAGAGATATTATAGAATGAATTCAAGTGTACAGGGGGAAAATAAAGAAAAAAAATTGTTGTCGCCAAATTCTTCTGACACATTCTAGGTATTCGAGATAACTTTGTTCGTTTTTCGAGATAAAGAAGTTAAACTGTAGTTGTTTCAAACTGTTCGTTGTTTAACATCCCTCTCGAGGACATGACACCATTCAATCACACATCATCTGTATAGAAATACAATACTTTACCTATGTTTCCTGAAAACCCAGATAAAGATATTTGATATTTTGATGTTTCATTTCCAAGAGAGATATTGCTGTATCTCACAAAGCGTGTCTGATCATCGAAATCACTCATGTCCATCCGTAGCTCGTATGGACCCTGACTCAGTAAGTGATACAGCTTCTCATTGCCTAAAACAATATAAAAGTACTGAAAGTACTGAAAGTCGGGCTTTAATTGCTCAAATACATTCTCTAATCCGAAATTATATATCATATTCATGCAACTCATATGATCCCTGACTCAGTAAGTGGTACAGTTTCCCATTGCCTAAAACAATATCAAAGTACTGAAAGTACTGAAACCCGGGCCTAAGTTGTTCAAGTACATGCTCTAATCCAAAATTATATATCATATACATGTAACTCGTATGATCTCTGACTCAGTATGTGGTAAAGTTTCTCACGGCCTTAACAAATTATGAGCTGCTTTTATAATAATTTAATTTTGCTGTCAAGATGTGCTTTTATGATAAAGTTGTTTGTAATTTAAATATTTATGATCATTATTAGACAAAATCAATGAATAAAATTGTTTTGAGGGGAAAGATTTGTTAAACTTCTTCGAAGATTCCGGTAAGATAAATAATGATTGTTTAACAATAAACCCAATACATACAATGAAAGAAACTGAGAGTGCTCTCAATAATACCTTTCTGGAAATAAAATTAGGACAATTAATAATTCAATATATTTAATTGATGAAAATTTTATTCCACACTGTTATAACTTGTATTTAAATAAAAATATTGATTTTTTACACTTAATTTAAAGTTCTGCAAACAGAATACAGTCCTTTGTAAAATCTTGAGAAAGCGCTGCCTACTTTATTGATTTCATTCTAAAGCTGATAGATACATTTAATATATTTATCTTAATGTCTTATTAACTTATTTAACAAATTTATAATTAAAAACCCACCAAACCAAAATTCCGCTGTTAAGTTTCCGAATCCGTTTTTGTATTCCTCCCAAGTTCTGTAAAAATCTTCAGATCCGTCTATTCGACGCTGAAAAACCTTTGAATATACAGCACAAAATAACATTCGATGAACACGAGTAATTAATAAACTACAATTTTATAAAAACATTTGTGAAAAGACACACACCAATTAGTCGAATCAACTTATCGACAGTTTCAAAACTTTAATATTGCAAGAGGCATAAGAAGCTGAATTGAAATTAATATAGGATTTTAAGAACAATTTAATAAATTGAAAGTATAATTTGATAAACTGAAAGTACACTTTGATAAGTTGAAAGTACAACTTGAGGAATTGAAAGTACAATTTGTGGAAATGAAAGTACAATTTGAGGAATTAAATAAACAATTTGATAAATTAAAAGTACTATTCAATACATATAATTTTTACCGTCCAGCCCCCTCCATCAACTTCCATTTCACAAAATGCAGTAACGTGACCGAGAGCTGGGATAATTATTCCATATAATCCACTGGACAATTCCGATGATAATTGTCTGCAATCTTTCGGATAACTATCTAAAATAATAAGAAAAAATATCAATTCACATTTTTAGCTCTACTGGTCAGAGACCAGAAGAGCTTATGCAATAGTACTGCGTCCGTCAGTCTGTCTGTCTGTAAACAATTCTTCAAAAATTTTACTCCTCTTTGGTCTGATTTCAATATAACTTGGTACATGTACACAAGTAGACTACACTAAGATACATAATTCTGTATATCTGTTTTTGACTTCGATGAACGGTGTTGCCATAGTTACTAAAAATAGAATTTTCTGTGAAATACTTTAAAAATGCTACTCCTTCTATAGTTTTCGTCTAATTTCAGTATAATTAGGCACACAAGTAGACTACAATCGCAACTTCTCGGGCCTTTCCGACTATAGCGGAAAAACGACCTCGAATGTATATGGTAGACGCCATGACAACCCTCCCTTTTCATGATGATTGAAATAAATGCATGGAGACTTTTATCTGTGGAATATGGAGTTTAACTATATTCAATGTAATGATATTACCTAGAATATACTATAGAAGGGACTTCTAACTCCGTCTATCCTATATTTGAATAAACAGGAAATGTATAAATTTTTAACATCCGGTGATGTTAATACATTCGAGATTGTTTTTCCGACCTCTGACGGAAGGATCCAAGATGATGCGATTGAAGTAGACTACACTAAGATACGTAATTCTGTTTATCGGTTTTTGATTTCGATGAACTGTGTTGCTGTGGTTACCAAAAATAGAAATTTCTGTGAAATCCTATTTATTGCTGTTGTAAAGTTTCAAGTCCCAACTGCTATTTTTTCTCTTCCTTTGTTATAAGTACAAACCAGTAGAGCTTCAGTCTCGACAGAGACTTCCGGTTTTGTTAAATATATGTAAATGGAAGTTAAAAGAAAATTGGTAGCAGCCCGAGAAAAAAATCAACTTTAACATCCCCCCCCAAAAAAAAATATGCCAAGCCCAAAAAAAGGGGGGTCCCAACACGAGGGTTCTATTTTGTGGAGGTACGGGAATCCAAATTCTTTCAGTACCACTTTTTTTTAAATAAAACCCTACATTACCCTCACATTATGATACCACTCTTTTTTGACAATGCTGCAAGTAAAAAAAAAAGGGGGGGGGGGCAACCGGAACTTCATTGAACATTATCTTGAGTAATGTTATGTTTTGAAGAAAGTGGGGAGGAACTTTCGCAATTAACCTCTGTCAGCATTTAAGGACCAACTTGAAGTTAGTTTTATTATAACAAATATTAGGGGAAATAAACTCTAGAGTTTTATCGCTCTTCTGGTATTTTCACACTGTCAAGGAGCCAACCTTTACGATGCCAACTTCTTTTAGTACCAATCTTTTTTTTTCTTACCTACAATACATTTTCCTTATATCACAAAACGATGGGTGGGGGGGGGGGGGGGCAACCATCCTTTCAATGAACATTTCCTATAGCATAAGTAATGTTTGGAAAAAAAAGTGGGGGGACAGCCCCACCCCGTCGCTACGTGCCTGATCATAAAGAATATTTCCTACCTTTAACGCAGTATGTTATATTACTTGAAAGTGTCAGACATCTCTCATTGGGTAAACATGACAAGCACTCAAGGTTTCCAACCCCCATCTGAAAGTATTACATACATAAAATAAAAGAAAAATAAAAATAAAATTACTTTAATATTGTTTTATATCTAATGATTAAATCTTTATTTTCTGAATATTTTTTGTACAGTATTTAAAACAAAATAGAAAATACACTGTCCCCCCCTACTAATGTGTTCGGAACTTTTTTTTTCTTTTTTTGTGTTCTGCAAAGTACATGTATAAAACCCGAGGACTTCAAATACCTTTGGCAGTAGCTCTGGCGAGAGTCAGCGAGACTACAGCGAGATAGGGTAAATTATTCACGGAAATGTGGCTAGGAAGTGACTAGCACGTGGAGACATGGTAAACAGAGAAGTTGTGTTTCAATTTTTACCACTCTATAAATTCTGTAGAAATGTACTTCAATTCCATTTGAACTCATTCAACTTTAATAAGTATATTCTTTCTCTATTATATTATTTTTCTGCAGTCATGCATTAAAAATTTCTTTTTGGACAAATATACATGTATTTGGAACCGGGGCTATATTTTTTTGACGTCAGCTTAGCAAATGATGCACAAACATGGCTTTAACACATTAGGTGATTGAAAATTGAATTATGGGTTACTACGGATACTACAGGAGTTTTATATTCTATACTTGATAAAAAAAATATAATGGGGATGGGAAAGGCACAGCGACATTTTTCCACCCATTTCGTAAAGCAATTCAGTTGTTTCTTTTGTCCTATTATTTCCATGCTAACAATGACAAGCAATTCACTTATTAAATAAACGTAAAATTCTAGGTTTTTCTAAGTCCTACTAAAAGGCGATTTGAGTCTGTATTGATTTCTTTGTTGTACTGTCTGTGAATACAATTGTCAAAAAACACGTGTGATCACGGGTCTTGTCCTTTCGATTGCTCAGGAGGTGCTGCTCGGTTTCCTTACCCATGAAACTCTGGTGTTCTGAGCTTGACACAAACTACATTTTATTATCAGTACATATTTTCTAGTTAACAACAAATTAAAAACGGTGGTGACATCTTTCATAGTTTCTAATCTTTGTATTTTTTCATATGAACATTTTTCGCGGCCCATTTAATATTGATCATAGATTTACCTGAACCACGTGTTCGAAGTAAACAAGGTTATATTTTTTAAGTAAGTCAAACTCCAAGGTCAAGGTCAAAGGGTCAAGGTTCTTGGTATCCAATAAAGCGACTTCTCACAAGGATTAAATATGTGAAGTATAAAAGCCATAGCTCTATTTGTTTAAAATTTATAACCAAAGTTAAGGTTTTTTTATTAGTACAGAAATATCTAAGCCCAAGGTCAAAAGGTCAAAGTTGTTGGTATCCACTGAAAGGTCTTTTCTTAGAAAACACACATATTAAGTATAAATGCCCTGGTATTAACTGTTCAAAAGATATGGCCAAAGTAAAAGTTCAAAATTTTTGTGTAAAAGTAGGTCAAACTCAAAGGTCAAAAGGTCAAATTTGGTGGTACCCAAAGAAAGGTCTTGTCACAAGAAATACACATGTGAAATATGAATGCCATAGCTCCACTAAATCAAAGTTATGGGCAAGGTTAAAGTTTTTTGCGGACAAACAGAAAGACAGACAGACAGCTAGACGGACACGACAAAAACTTTATACCCCCGAAACTTCGTTTACGGGGGCATAAACATACGACGTTTCTTTTTTTCTTCGCATTTATGCAGGTCAAAAATTAATTGAGCTTAAAAATAAAAAAAAAAGATATGTTTGAAATTTTAAAAAGTATATGAGTATATGAAAGATTGCTCTACAAAAAATGTAATTGGTTTCACATTACAGTATACATGTATTAACTTTTAGAAATCAATACATATCATATCTTTTTATTGGTGTTATTGTCCTCTTAATCTGTGTATATGTAGAAGTCTACTTTAATATTGATATGACTAAATAGATTATTTAGTGTATTGAGTGTTAATTATGAAGTTTTGACCTGAGCTGCAATCTGATTTTCGCATTTTTTATCTCTCAATAAATTTGAAATTAATCAGGATACTTTGGTTTTTAACACACATTTGATTTAATAGTTAAAATATTTCTACCAAATTTGGACATAATATGACGTTAACTAATAATCCACGAAATTTTCGAACAAGATTGGCTGCCGCATGTTTGTAGGTACATGTGTAGGTTCGTTTTTTTTTAAATATATGAAAAAACAAACGGTATTCAAGCTCAAAAGTCCATTAAACAATACAAAATAGGAGCAAAGCAAAGACGGACTTCAAAGCATCAGTGGTGGGTTCAGGTGCTATGGAGGAATGAGCATTCCCTGCCGATCGATCAAAACCGTTGTGTGCTCCTTTTTTATGATCGGGAAATAGCGTAAAAATTCATCGATTCAATGTGTAAATAATGGTCCAAAAATCTCAAGCAGCATTTGACTCAATGATTAAAAACCGTATAAGCAAATTTTTAGCGAGTATTTAATTTTAGTATTATTAGCGAGAGTTCAGAGATCGCTAAAATTAAATATCGCTAAAAATGAATTGTGTTTAATTTCTAATAGCTTCCTTAGTGAGCATTTTAAAATCGCTAAAACTACTTTAAGCTAAAAATAAAAAAAAAACATATTTTAAGGACACATCGCTAAATTTGCGTCTCGCTAAAATTTTCACTTATACGGTAGTACCTGTTGACATGGCCATTGCATTACATTTATGACATAATGCATCTTGAGTATTGTAGAAAACCGCAACTGATTGTAAGATGTTGGTAAAATGATCGTCTGTAACTAAACGTAACAGAGGAACTACAATACTCTGATAGACGCAGAAGCCTTTTAATAATACTTGCCTTATTCAGCACCTCGATCCAAATTATTATTTATCGTTTTAAATTTATGCGAATGTGTGAAACTTTTTTTCAATCATTCAGTGATTTTTAACAGAATATACATAACAATCATATAATATTACATG